AAAGTACCTGGCACATCTCTCTGACTATACACAGCGTGTGTCCGGTTGATGCCAAATACAGCATCCATGCTCTTGCTGAGGTCAAGGCCATAGTTGAACAGCAGCCCTCCCATATTGTCCGTCTGCATGTTCATGGGCCCTGCGTGCCATGCAATGAGGCCATCCCTTACAGCAGCTTTGAAATTTTCTTTCTCTGTTGCGTTTGGACACTTTTTCGAGACAGAGAAAACATACATCGGTGCATTAAATAATAATTATCTTAAGTACAAGGATACACCTAAAATTGTAGGTGGAAACGTTCCAAAAATTAAACATCTTTTAACTGGAGAGTGAGTGTTTTATGATATAAAAACGTAAGATGAAATACAAAACAGGAATGTCTGAATTAAATGAAAACTAAACAAACGAGCTCTATCATTTATTGTAACCCCTTGTTTCATAAAACTTCACAGCGATAAAAATTATCTCTACTTTGAGAGTGAAACTGTGTGCAGAAAAAAAACACATATGTGAATAATATATGCATTTGAGTATAATATGAGAGCATGTGGGCGGGGGAATGTTTGTATTTGCAAAGTTCTTGATGGGGGGGTAAAAATTATCTGAGGACTGCTTTTATTGGAGAATTTGGCAGATCTGCATACAATCTCTTTTTCCTTTTTAAAAATGTTTTATATTCTTCTAATAATTATAATAATTTCATATAAAACATAGCACATATATCCATGCTCTGCAGTATTCTGTATGCACTTTACAACTATCATGACCCCAGAAGACCCTCAGAGAACACTTAGAAACTTTCTTGGCTTCCCGGAAAGCATACAGTGCAAGCTGTGGATTTCAAGCGGTCAAACACTATCAAAACGACAAGATCTTTTACAGAATCTTGCAAGGTACCCACTTTCACCTTGGTGAAGTGAAGAAAATTCGTGCAAAGTGCCTTTCTCACGGACACGACGTCGGGTCCCTGTTGGGATTCGAACCCATGGCCTTACAGTTGCGAGTCTGAGAGCCTAACCACATGGCCACCGATTCCACTTTTTCTTCTACTTACCTTCAACGGAATATTGGCCAATGTGATATTTGGACAATCCAGGACGAGAGAGACCAGCCAGGGCTGGGTGGTGTACAAGAATCTCTCCACGTAGCCTTTCTCGATGAGAGTGCGGGACAGGTTGATGGCTTTGTCAAAGTATTCCGTCAGGTATCTGTTCAGCACCTGCACCGCCAGCCCTGTCTCGTTATCCCGACCAGCGTAGTAACCAACGTCTGAGATAAACAAAACAAAAGTAGAAATAAACAATCCAGAACTAAAAGAAGAAATAAAAACCCAAGAAACAAAAACAAAAGCAGAAATAAACAATCTAAAAAAAAACCCAACAACAATAAAGTATAAACAAACAATCTTTGTTTGTTTGTTTGTTTAGTATAAGATTTTACGGCGCTCGCAACTGCATAAGGTCATATGAGCGCGCGGGACACACCTAATACTTTTTCGTTGGTAGGAAATTTTGAATTTTGCCCGGGTGGCAGCCGAAGCCTACTCTTATCGATTTTAGACCACCAAGGGATCTTCAACGTGCGCAACTTGCACACCGACCCTCCAAGATTTTTCGCCCTTGTCCGAGAAGGCTAGGTGTAGATCTTTCCTACCAGAAGATCAGGGGTGTGGCAGAAAGACAGCAGTTAGGAGGAGCCAAGGAGTAGCAGTAGAAAGGCTGCAGAAAGAGTCAGGAGCCCAGAGGAGGGGGCAAAGGAGGTGAGGGGGTGGGGGCAGAAAGTGGAAATGAAAGCAGACAACAGAACATTGTTAGAGATCAGGAAAGGATGTGAAAGGAGACAATTTTAGAGAAGAAAATTTGTTGGTCGCTACCCGGAATCGAACCCGGGACCTTTGAATGAGAGGCCAACACCTTAACCTCTAGGCCACGAGAGCCCCCACAAACAATCTAGAAAAAACCCCAACAACAATAAAGTATAAATAAACAATCTAGAAGAAAACAGAAAACAAAACAAAAAGTAATCTAGAAACTGTCTTAGTAAAAAATTGAGATTGTGTTTCAGTAAAAAGAGAAGCACATCGATGCAATTATGATCATTTAGTGCTGGCAAAAGGTAAGACAGACAGACAGAAACAACAGATTACGGAAAGTATACAAGTATGACCTGCCAGTGGTAAAAAATTGAAAACAATTTGCAGAAAAAAATGATGTAAGAAGTCGGATCATGTATTACACTAATGGTCTGATTTCTAATTTAAAAAATATTTAAAAAGCACCATTTCAAAGACGATTGTTCTAATTGTTGCTTATATTCAAATGTCTAATCAGTAGATTTTTTTGGGAAAGAGACAAGTCTGCTCATCTCAAAGCACAACAGACCAGACCACAAAAAAAGGGTTGGCTTTTTTCCCCACCTGACTATGAATCTTAAGATATAATTATTATGCATGAAACAAGCCTATGCCTACAACTTGTAACATTTATTATGAAGTGCCCAGAACCACCAGAGACGGGGTGCTAAACAAAAGAAGTGACCTTTATCAAATCCTAAATGACAAATCACCAAGGAGATTAAAAGTAATGGAGGATGCTCTGTGGGCGGCACCGCACGCCTGATAGGAGCCCTCTCTCACGGCGGAACCGTGG